GGTGTACAACTGAAGATGGCCATCATCATTAAATGGGAGAGTTAAATTGATCTTCTTTTATATATATATTTCTCTTCACCTTAGACGAGAAAAAAGGAGATGATATGAAGGACTACTATAACTTTGTTTTTTTTTACATTTTTTTAAATCTTCACTTCTTTTCATCCAATAAAACTATCCCATTTAAGTCGAATGAGCATACATACACATACGGTCCCCAGTTCAACAACAAAAAAAATTATAATATACTCATATAATGAACGAATCTTATTAAAATATTCTTTTCTAACTTCAAGCAAATAATCAATATACAATATTTTTATTCCTATATTCTTTAACTAACCTTTATTTAAATTCAATTAAATTAAATTAAATCAAGTTTAACAATAAATAAATGAGGCGGAGACAACCGTATATTTCGGGAGTCATCTTCAGATACTTCAATACAATATAATGCAATTACAACCGCAACAATAGATATATACAGTTTTAGAGTTGATTCTCAAATGTCTGAATGAGAGATGTCACTAAATCTGAATATATCTCTGCTTATTACTTAAAAATAAGGTACTAAGCGTTTACTTCACTTGAACCACTAAAGGTAATTAGTATTATTGCATTTGGTCAATACGGATACAGTTGCACATTTACTTAGCACCATCGACCCTTAAATTACAATCTAAATAAAAATACCATTAACTATTATTTTATTAAATAGCAGAAGCAATAGACAGTTTACTTCTTGACATAGCTTAACAAACGTCTTGAAAATAAAAAAAAAAACCACCTGTCTGACACAACCCCGAAAGTGACTGCATCCAAACATTTAAAGATCACATTACATCAGGACACCATGAAAAGATATGATTGTTAATAATTTTCTGAAAAAACAAAGTCTTCCAGAATCTAAATTTTTCAGAACCAAACCAAAAAATAAAGAAGACAACGTAGATAGAAGTAACGGGAAGTATCCCAAGATGCAGCGGAGCGCAAGAAGACAAAGCGAACAGAACCGTATATTCGCACAGTAGAGTGGTTATGAAAATTAACGTCTACCACTGCAAACTATTCTCTTTACTAACAACATACAATTAGCATATTAAGAATAAAATTGGGCTTATTTTGTACGGATGTTTCTCCCTCTATCTATATTCCTGCCTTCTGTTAATTTTCATATCATTATTTTTTTTTCATTCTCTCCAGTTCTTGCCCTTCGTGCCAACACAATTGGTGGTAAGTTAGACGGAAACAAGATACATTGCCAGCAGGGTTTCCCTTCTAGCTAGAACGAGTAACCAGTTTCTCTAGACAGAGAGATACTCTTCAATTGGTCGGTCTAGTGGGAAAAATTGTCCTGTTGCATGGTACTAGCCTCTTTGTAACACCATCAAATGAATCCTTCTGGCTGTATTGTATTTACCTGCTTCCTGTCTAAGTTTTTGGTTGCAAGTAATTATGATATGATGAGCTTAGACTAGTACCAAAATACACAATACATCATAGCAGACTCACTTTTTCATCAAGAAACAATATCATCGATGTTACTTGCATTACTTACTATTCGATCGTGTTTTAGTATGATATCGTTATTGTCATCCATTCATTGACAGGAAAAAAACTTGATTCGAGTGATGATCATGATGGTAACAGTGAGGTAGACCACAACGCTTATTCTGTTGTTTCTTGTTCATGTTGCTTGAGTATTACCTATTCATTCTACCACTCTCTAAGTTTACTATCTCTTCAATTTTCAATTATCTGGTAAAACTTTAGTGTTACAATTATAAGAAACTGTACTATATTAACATTGATATTTGTATTGTTGTATTAAGTGTATACTATATAGAAAAAGAACCATAGTCAATCAAGAAGTATGTATTATAGTTAAAGGAATAAGATTACGATTATGCTGATTATCGATTTGTGAAGCAATGGTGGAAATACGTTAAAGATACATAATGAGCTGTATTCACTGGTTTAGCCGAAATAGATGCAAATATTATCTGAAATGGGAATAGCAAGCTGTTTCAAACTGAACAGCAACATGGATAATCTGTGTGGTGGATCTAGTGTTTATGGAATTCATTCAAGGGAGAAGAAGAAAATTTTTTTCTTACTTTCTCTTTCATTGAGCATGACAAAAATATATGTATATAAATATGGAGGTATACCATTAGAACACCGATTCGATAGTCAATTGTAGTTTTCATCATCAAGTCAAGTTAAATTGTATTATCCGATTTAATTTGATTTATTATAGCTGAGACGTAATATACTAACGACATAATAAAAAAAAAAATTCTCGTTGATTATTTTTTTTTTAAATTAATTCTAATAGAGTCAAAATGCCAAAGAAGAGAGCTTCCAACGGTAGAAACAAGAAAGGTAGAGGTCACGTCAAGCCAGTTAGATGTGTTAACTGTTCCAAATCCGTTCCAAAGGATAAGGCTATCAAGAGAATGGCTATCAGAAACATTGTCGAAGCTGCCGCTGTCAGAGATTTATCTGAAGCTTCTGTTTACGCTGAATACGCTTTACCAAAGACTTACAACAAGTTGCACTACTGTGTTTCCTGTGCTATTCACGCCAGAATTGTCAGAGTTAGATCCAGATCTGACAGAAGAATCAGAGCTCCACCACAAAGACAAAGATTCAACTCTAACAACAGAGTTTCTCCAGCTGACGCTGCCAAGAAAGCTTTATAAGTTTTTTGAATCCCATATTATTATTAGTAACATGGTATAAATTTATAGTTTTTCAATAAAATATTTTTGTATCTTACGACAGACTGAGAGATAGAGAGTCTAGCTAGAGGCAATGCCCAGCAGTGACAGTAATTGTAATTGTAGTTGTAATAGGACCTGATGCAAATATGTGTTATTGCAAGAGTTAGTTTGATGTATAGTGTAGTCGTTGCATTCGTGCCAATTCTAATGCTAGAAGCTAGAAGCTAGAAGCTAGAAGCTAGAAGCTAGAAGCTAGAAGCTGAAAACTAGAGAATGTCACATGACCATCACACATCACGAAACTGCACGTACACAACGACAGCCGACCGTAAGCAGAGAGAGAGAATATATAAAATAACAAAATAATAAAAAAATAAGGGTGGACAGACCAGGTCACCTGACCAAACCTGAGTTCCCTCTCTCCCTCTCTCCCCTCGTACAGTAAAACCAAATCCCAAAAAATATCCAAAAACCAACCAACCAACCCTTTTAGCTTTGAAGGGGAACAAAAAACAAAAGAAGGGCAAGGGGAAAAGGGAAGGGGCCAAGAGCAATCAATCAATCGTGAGTATTTGAATAGTTGATTTGATCAATTGTGTGGTTGGAAAAGAGACTAGAACAAACGAGAACCATAGAAGCCTCAAATCCAAACTGATTTCTAGTCTTTTCGTTTTAGATTGAGTTATCAACAACAGATTTAAAGGATATCTTATTCTTGTTATTTTAATCATTAATTCAATATTTAGCTTTATCTTTAGCTTTATCTTTGCTTTCATTTTTGTTCTTGTTCTTCCTTTTCCTCTTGCTTTCACTGATTAATTCAAGTTTCCAGTTTCCAGTTCTCGTTCTTTACTATAACCCTTTAACGATATCCAACTGATCAACTGTTACTTTAGAAATAGGTTTTGTGACATTAGCCAGATAAGTATCAAAAAGTATTACTTCAATCCAAGTTCTTCTCTGTGTGTTAAGTCATTCCATTCCATTCCATTCCATTACATTTTTATACTGTCCTAATAGCAAAATCACCTCCATTTACTTTTGATTTGCTTCATTATTGCACAGAACAATTGGTCGATCCTGTCTCCTTTAACAGCTTTATTTTGCTCAACCTCGTTTTGTGTATACAATAATCAGAATATTAAGGGCTGCTCTGGTCTGGTCATTATACACTGCTTATTTTATTTTATTTTATTTTGTTTTACTCTTGATCCCGTGTATTTTTTTTTTGTTTGGCAAGATAACATACATACTTACATTGCAAGATATCTTATCATCTCTCTTCCTCTGGTCTAGTTTCACTTCCAGATTTCCCATCATTGCAGAACCTCACTCTCATTACTAGACTCTGGCGTCTTTGGGATCTCTCTCTCTCTCTCTTTGTTATTTTTTTACGTGTGTCGTTGCTTTGCTTTGCTTTGCTTTGTTGTATGTACACTCCTAACTAAAGAGAATAAAATAAACCCACTGTATTGTTCTTTTAGTTTTTACGTTTTTACGTTTTTACTTTCCACCCCCCCATTCTGTTGCTGCTACACAAGAAGTTTCCAAAATCCCAATTGGAATCGAACTGGAATTGACTATACCTTAATTAGCACGTCAATTCATATATATCATATCACACAATTAATCTACAAATCTATCATCCTTCTCAGGTGCCAACTTACAATCCCCCCTCCCCTCCCCACCTTTGAACTATTTGTCCTCTCTAAGTGTGTGTGTGTGTTGTGTGTTGTGTGTTGTGTGTCTGTCTGTCCTTTTTTCATTGTTTTTTTTCACTTTGAAATTTTCGAAATTTTTTTTTCTTTGCTTGCCTGATTTGTTTGTTTCACTTCCGATACGATTAGAAAAAATTGAAATTTTAAAATAAACTTCAAGAGTATAAAATTGAAAAATTGGAAACTGAAAATTGGAAGTTAAGATTACTGTAACTTATATTTGGAATCACACTGGTAATTTGAATTTCACCCCCCCCCCCCCCCTTCCCCTTCCCCTACCCCTACCCCTTTCCGATCAGAAGTATATCTTTTGTCCAAATTAAAGAGGTGTGGTAATACAATTCTGAAGTTGCCAATTATATTACATTTGTTAACTTAACCAAAAAAATAACATAAATAAATAAATAAAAGGAAGACCAAACAGAATAATTAAATTAAAGGAAGGAAAAATTATGTCTGACGAAAACTTTGATTTCATCTTTAGCCAATGTTTTGGTGATAAAGCAGATATTGTGGTAACTGAAGCTGATATAATCACTTCAGTCGAATATGACCATACTGGTGATTATCTAGCCACCGGTGACAAAGGTGGCCGTGTTGTATTATTCGAAAGAAACCATCAAAGTAAAAATTGTGAATATAAATTCTTGACTGAATTCCAATCTCATGATGCAGAGTTCGATTATTTGAAATCTCTAGAAATTGAAGAAAAAATCAATCAGATTAAATGGTTAAAACCAACCCAAAAATCCCATTTTTTATTAACCACAAATGATAAAACAATAAAATTATGGAAAATTTATGAAAAAAATATTAAATTAGTAAGTGAAAATAATTTATCCGAAGATTTGTCATCGTCATCATCATCATTTAATAATAATAATCATAATCATAATAATAATAATAGTCATTTAAACAATTCTGCATCATTAGCATCTTCATCATCTGCATTAAATTCCAAAAATTCGAATAATCAAAATTCTAGTTCAAATATTAATATTGGTCCTGCAAAAGCAGTATTATCTTTACAAACTTTAAAATTACCAAAATTATCCGACCACGATAAAATTATTACCGCTGCACCAAAAAGAATTTATAGCAATGCTCATACCTATCACATCCATTCAATTTCTGTAAATTCTGATCAAGAAACTTTCTTAAGTGCAGATGATTTAAGGGTCAACCTTTGGAATTTAGATATACCTGATCAAAGTTTTAATATCGTAGATATTAAACCAACTAACATGGAAGAATTAACTGAAGTTATCACAAGTGCAGATTTCCACCCTCAACACTGCAATTTGTTCATCTATTCGTCTTCTAAAGGTACTATCAGATTATGTGATATGAGACAAAATGCAATTTGCGATTATCAAACAAAGGTATTCGAAGAATACATAGATCCAAATAGTCACAATTTCTTCACAGAAATCACTTCATCCATCTCCGACGTAAAATTCAGTCCAAACGGTAGATACATTGCATCAAGAGATTATCTAACCGTAAAGATTTGGGATGTTAATATGGATAATAAACCATTGAAAACGATAAATATTCATGAACAATTGAAAGAAAGATTAAGTGATACTTATGAAAATGATGCAATCTTTGATAAATTCGAAGTCGAATTTAGTGGTGATAGTTCAAGTATTATGACAGGTTCATATAATAATAATTTTATGATTTATCCAAATGTTATTAACTCTAATGAAAATGATCAAACAAGTATTGTTAAAACATTTAACGAAAATGATGTAGGAAGTAATAGCCGAAATTTATCTGGAAAGAAGAAGACAAATAGAAATAGTACTCGTAGTAATGATAGTGATATTGTTATGGAAAATGAAGATGGTATTGGTGAAATTGTTTTACAAGCAGATAAATCAACTTTTAAAAATAAACGAATTGGTTCTACAGCTCAAAGATCTGCAAGAATCAAAGATTGGGGTGACGATATTGATTTTAAAAAGAGCATTTTACACTTCTCTTGGCATCCAAGAGAAAATAGTATAGCACTTGCTGCTACAAATAATTTATTCATTTTTTCTGCATCTAAGAAATAAGTTATTTGTATATAAAGAATATATATTTAGTAATAATAAGCGTACAATATATATATATATATATATATGTATATCTGTATTTATTTATTTGTATATGAAATTGTATGAATTATTGTAATAAAAAGACATTTTTATTAAGAATTAAAATTGAATATTTATTGTTCTGGTTTAAAAATTATATATAAATAATTATCGTTAGGAAATCCTTTAAAAGATTTTAAAAGGATTAAAAAGGTAAAGAATATTGCAAAAAAAGAATAGATGAAAGATCCTTAATTATCTATATTATTCATATTCATAACCTTGGAAGAAAATAAAGATGAATAAAAATAGTAATCGTAAATCAAATAAAAAAGGAATATACTGTACTGGATAGTTACTTCAAAACATATCAAAGGCACAGTATTGATAGAAAATACATTAGATCAAAAATTGAAAATCTTGTAAGAATAATTGATTTTTATTAGTGTCTAATTTATTCATCAGTGATATGTCTGTTGACAACTGGGTTCCAGAATAAAGTCTTGTCACCATCACCCCAGAAATATGGCTTACTTCTGATGTTTTGGAATTCGTATTGCTTTGGCCATTCAGAATCTGGGATATGTTTCAAATGTTCGCGATGGTTGGCATGTTCCTTTTCAACAAAGTATGTGTTGATAGCTGTTAAACCAATAGCTGGGGCAGCAACAAATAAGGAAATTCTCTTCCAGAAATTGGAAGTAGCTTCGGCATGTTCAGTTGTAACTTCAACAGACTTCTTGAAAGCTTCAGCAGCAGCCTTGTTTGGAGCACCAAAAGCTGGCTTCAATGCATGTGGTGGTAAAGTAGCATAACTTCTCTTGGCAGCTTGTCTAAACATTTTTAAATTATAATTATTATTGGTATGTAGGTTTTTTGTTGGTATAATCAATTACAAGTAATTGGATTAACTGTTGGTTCACTAAATGGAAATAAATCAAGAGAACAATATCTTTTAAAAGATATCTATTAATTAAAATAAAGATTTAACTTTATTATATATATTTAATTAGTTGATGATGTCTGATATTTAGCCAAATTTCTCCTTACCTCGTTATTTTGTTTGTACCGATAAAAATTTCTTCACAATTTTATTATTGGCTTGTGATCACGTGATGAGTAAATAACTTGGTTGGATGGTATTAAATGGTTAAACATCCTATTAAGATTACATATATGGATGGGTAGTTGTAAAGTTAACAATTGCTTAAAAGTTAAAGTATTTTATTGAATAGGATGGGTTCTAAGAGATCAAACATCAATTTGAAAACAATTGTTAATGAGTGTCATAATTATAGCTTAGTAGTAATAGGACAAGTTATATCACGTGATAATATCTAAAATAGGAAAGTAATCGTAAATCAACTAAAATCAATATTCATATCCATAGATATATACACCTATTTGTACATATAGGACAAGTATACTATTAATAAAGGTCAATTTGAAGTCCAGTAAATGTTTAACATCCACATTCAATCATAGATAGCAAATGGCCATACAGTTTTGCTACTGGTTAGCGCCATTTTCTCTCACTATAGTGGGATATTTACTGACGTTCGACTAACTGTATTAATGAAAAATTACGGTGAAGTGGCATTTAAAGGACAAGTAAAAGTCTATCAAAGAATGATTCCCATCAATATTTATTCAAATAAGCCATTTATGTCATTGGGAATGGGTTGGTATTGTAATAGTATCTATTTAAAACATATTCCTTAAATAAGTAACGTACATGTCTCCTTCGTTTAACCAAAAAGTGCATTTTTTTTTTTTTGATGTAAAAATTAACATGACAAAGAAAGAACTAATGGAACATTCATCCTGAAGAAAGAATTAACTGGATATATTATTAGATAATACTTTTTAAAAAGAAGTAAATTAAATGCAAATAGATATACATTATACATATAAATATATATATACATATATAATATCTGTCCAATATCAAGGATCAGATGTGATTTGAATGGCTCCAATTGCAGAAAATTATGCCGTTGTGTCCTTTACAGTTTTAATTAGTTTATCACTTTTTATTGTTGTTGTGTTCTTCCTGTTCTTAGCCAAAAATGATAGATTGTACTTTGACAGTCCATTAGATATACTATTGCATTTCTTATTGTGAAATGTATAATTTGTTCAGTTGTGTTTGCAAGTTCAGAGGATGCTGAGAATATTCAATATGGGCCATTGATGATGATGCATGTCTATTATGAGTTTTTTTATTATTATTACTGTTATTATNGTCGTCATTATTATTCGAATGGGATTGCACTGGTTGTAATTTAGTATTCTCGTTATTGGTTAAACCTTTAGGACATCCATTTTTATTATTAACAGATTTGTTTAATAAGTTCTGGCAAAAGGTTTCGTATTTTCTTTTAACGTCTAATTCGTGAATACAATTACCAGTTAACTGATTACCAACTGTAAACCAACCTGGTCTAACATTGTGATCTCTACCGAATATTTCTAGTTTACGTGCATGCGGACCTACCATTCTTTCAACCATTCCATATAATTCATCTGGTTTTCTACTGGTTTCTCTCGTGGTAGATACGATAATATCTGTATCGATATGTTTATTGATCCATTCTGGGTTACCCTTGAGCCCCACCAATAAATGTTCCTTAGAATGATTTAGCCAGTGACCAGTACGTCCTGTGACAATAGTTCTACCAAGTTGATTAGTTTTGATCCATGATATTTCATTTACGACTTTATATCCCCAGTTTTGTAGCGATTCCTTACCTAATTCGATTGCTCTACCAGTTACCCACAAGAATAATATTCCTTCATCCTGGAGATCTTCTAATGGTAGTTCTAACAACTCTATATCATTACAGGTACCATATGGTAGGTTCATATGAATGTTCCATGCTGGATCAGCTATAACCGCTGAGAATTTTCCCAAAATTTTAAAGTCAAATCTTCTAACATCACATCTAATCCATTGTGGAGGCAAAGGCGACTTTATAAAAGATGAACAGCATTCACCATGAGTATAGAAGGGTATCTTTCTTTGTTTTTCAATTTTTGCATTCATTGATTCAGTTTCTTCTTCGATTTTTCTTTTTAAGCTTTCAGGAATGTACTGCAAGTAATGAATATATCTACAAGTATTCAACTTATGACAAGTGTCTAAGTATGAACAATCACCCAAAGATAGGTCAGTTTGAGGCTTTAGGTTTGGGACGTAGTGAATATTGTTTTGGACACAATTTAAAAAACCAGGATATTGTAATTCATATTTATTAAATTTTGACCATTGTATTGAAACAATTTTATTGTTAACGATATAAACCGATGTTGATAAAAGGGAAGCATGGGTTGTGTTTCTACAAGATGGGATATATTCAGCAATTTTTGTTGTTTGGCTAGCTCTTTCTCTACTCAACGTAACAGAAGCCAATTCAGTTTTCAAATTTTTTTGCATTCTATTTAATAAATCTACATTCCAAATGGTCTGCTCAGTTCTGTTGCCATTTTCGAAATCATCATGTTTTAAGGCCAGCATTAATCTATCCAACAAGCCTTTCTCAGGTGAGTCTTGGTTATTATTGGCATTATTGTTCCCGCAAGTTTTTTTACCTTTTGCTTGCAAAGAGGAATTCGATTTGGCGCCATTATGTTTATTTGAGTTTGAACTTGAATTTGAGATTGAGATTGAGTTCGAGCCTGAGCCTGAGCCTGAGCCTGAGCCTGAGCTTGATTTTGGCCTTTGAAATGGTACTAGTTTATCCCTTAGCAATTTCAGTAGATATTCATCGATCACCTCGATATAATGATCTTCTAAACTCAAACCGTTATCCTTCTTAAAAATTAACGAGCAAGGAGCCAGCCTTGAGATCTCATGGATATCACTAACAAAATCAGTAAAAGGAAGTTTTGAATGATCGTATTTCGTCTTTGCATATTGGTTTGCGGTGATATACAACGCAAAGATATCTCTTAATTGTCCAGATAAAGGTTCGTTAATCAATAATTCATGGTTTTCAATTAAAAATTCAACCAATTGAACTGTATTAGCCCAACTCATTTCCACCACACCACTAAGGATCTTTTATTATATCTTGTTGCTGTTCTTGCTTGACAATTTTTCCAACAGCTACCCTTCAAAAATATCAAATCTTGTCAATCTCTTTGCAATAACGTCTTGGTATGTGTGTGTATATTTATTTTTTTCTTTCCTTCTATGTTGACCTTGACTTTCTCTAGTTACACTACTCTAAAAAGACAATTTCTCTAAACAATTAAGATATACCAGATACAGTATTGACCACCAGAACTGTCCTTGAACCTTCTTATCAATTTGTATTCGTATCCCATCTCTGTACATCCAATATTAAAATGCGTCTTCTTAAGTCTGAATGATAATCTAGATTCGATTCGCATTTATGTTATTATTTAAATAAGCACAACAAGATTATTAAGAACAGAAACAATATAAAAGTTGTTTTATTCATAAGAAAGGACAGATACAACAAGGGATAGGACCAAGATATGGATCGCCGCTAGTTGATTTGAAGCTGGTAATGTTGTTGTTTGAAGTGGATCTGTTTAAATACAGTCTAGTCTTAAGTGGAGATGAGATGAGGTCGATTGATTGATTGACTGTTATATTCCAAAATAAATACTGACACATCCATTTTCTTGATTTAATATAAATTAAAAGGGAAGGGAAACCCACCAAACAAGGTTGACGTTCGAGTTCAGTTTGTAGTGGTAATCATAATGATCGTGTCGATGGTTAGAATGTCCTTGGATGCTGTGATATACATTTTAAGGGCTCTTAAGGCAAGTTATTCCATATAACATCTGATTTAAAGTATGTCGTATTTTGTGATCTTTACATAGAAAAGTTTCCGATATCACATTTGAGCATCAGAGAAAGTGAACGATAATACAAACCATTAACCATTACAAGATTAGTTTAAGAACTGTTACAAAGTTGTTTTAAGGTTACATTGTAGCGAAATATTTGTTATGGTTTAGGTTACCAGTTGGGTTTCACAGGATCCGTATCGTTTTTGAAAGATCAGATTGTTCAAGAGTGTAAGGTGCTACTGAAAAGGGATTCTTAGGTGAATTGGTATATTCTTCACAAGAACTGATATTAAGGAACTAATATTTGACAAGCGCTATCTCTGTATTTATATAAATATACTCACGGAAATATTTGGGTCGGTTTTTTGGTGAAATTTTTGAAGGATTGTACTTTTATAATACCATGCCATCAGCATCATCTTCAACTTTTTCTTATGATATCAAGACTAAAAATGCACAACCAATGTTTGAATTCGGTTCTGCTTATTGTCCCAGAGTCTCGTATCATTTCAATCCCAAAGTCTCAAACTATCATTATGGTGTTAAACATCCAATGAAACCGTTCAGATTAATGTTAACAGATCATCTGGTTTCTTCTTATGGTTTACATAAGATTATGGATTTATATGAAACTAGATCTGCTACAAAGGATGAACTTTTAGATTTCCATTCCGATGACTATGTAAGTTTCTTGCAAAAAGTGACACCTGAAAATCTCAGTAAAATGCCAAGAGGTACTTTAGAAAAATATAATATTGGTGATGATTGCCCAATTTTTCAAAATCTATATGATTACAGTGCCTTGTATGCTGGTGCTTCTTTAGATGCCTCTAGAAAATTAATTAATAATCAATCTGATATTGCAATTAATTGGTCAGGTGGATTGCATCATGCTAAAAAGACAAATCCATCAGGGTTCTGTTATGTCAATGATATAGTATTGGCAATTTTAAATTTATTAAGATATCATCCAAGGGTCTTATATATAGATATAGATTTACATCATGGTGATGGTGTACAAGAAGCATTTTACACAACTGATAGAGTCTTTACAATTTCTTTCCATAAATATAACGGTGAATTCTTCCCGGGTACTGGTAATTACGATGAAATAGGTTGTGCTCAAGGGAAACATTTTGCAATGAATGTACCACTAGAAGATGGTATAGATGATGATTCATATATAAACCTGTTCAAATCAATTATCGACCCATTAATAACTTCATACAAACCAACGGTGATTATACAACAGTGTGGTGCAGATTCTTTAGGTCATGACAGATTAGGTTGTTTCAATTTAAATATTAAAGCTCATGGTGAATGTGTTAAATTCATTAGATCATTTGGGATTCCCATGTTAGTGGTTGGTGGTGGTGGATACACACCAAGAAATGTGTCACGATTATGGACCTACGAAACTGGTGTACTAAATAATGTCTTGTTACCTGCAGAACTTCCAGAAGATATACCTTTCAGAGATTCGTTTGGTCCTGATCATTCCCTATACCCAGTGCTGGACGATCTTTATGAAAATAAAAATAGTAAAAGATATCTAGAAGATTTGAGAATACGATGTCTAGAACATATAAGGTATTTACAAGGTGCACCAAGTGTTAGAATGGATGCAGAGGTCATCCCAGTAAATGATATTAGTGGTTTGACTGAAGAAGAAGAAGATATAATTCAGGAGTTGAATCAAGAAGATGAGAACTGGAGATTGGAACAAATAGAAAAAGAAAATTCAAAACTAAGTGAACTAATGTAAATACAAAAGTTAGTTAAAATAATAATAATATTAATATTAATATTAATATAGGTGGGTAATGGTTTAGATAAATTTGTAACAATATATATAATTTTAATGATAAAGTATATTGAAGTCGTTAAAAAGAATCAATTTGATATTTTTTTTTGTTTTTCTGCTCCATCCAAAGTTATCTTTTTTAAGTGTTATAACGAGATTTAAAATTTGTTCCTGAAATCAGATTTCAAAAACGTAGTTCATTAAAAGAAATTATAAAAGTATTTAAAATACTTATTACATTTTGATGGCCGTTTAACACTTCGATAACATCTCATATGTTGAACTAATTGACCTATGGTCACTATAAGGAGTTTGAAACAAGTAAGCTATTACTTGTTTATAGGATTGCTATTGAATATATCCTTTAAAATTCTATATCATTACATAATACCATGGTCACTTTTATGGATGGTAAATTGTCAAGGCAATGAATGTAATGAACTTTCCTGGTGGCAACACTTCCCTTTACTTGAAAAATTTATATGGAGGCTAGTAGATAATTTAAATTTATAGCACAAATTGAATTAGTTTAATAATTTATAAATATATATTTTAAGAATTATTTATAGAAGTAAATTTATAAATGTAATTTTATTGTTCTTCTGCGATCAATTCAACACCACCAACAGCCCAAATGTCTCTTTCATCTTCAAATCTATCACTGAACATGGTTTCAGCGTCACCACCAGCAGCGATTCTCTCTCTCTCAACGGTAGCTAATCTCTTGGCAACTCTTTTGCTGTAGTCACCTATAGATCTAATTTGAACAATATCTTCAACTGCATTCTTAACTTCTGAGGTGTTACTAGATATTTCATTGAACCAGACATTAAAGGTATCCATGTTTTCTTCTTCAACCAATCTAAAAATAGCTAAATATGCTTTTTCTGCAGCTAACTTGATTGGAATAATTGGATCACGCAAACAAGAAAATACTGATGGACCTAACTCATTCAAGTATGGCAGAATAGTTAAATCATACTTGAATCTAGCCAATGTTCTAACAATAACCAAGGATAACCTTCTAGCATCAGTTGAATTACTAACAGGTCTTAGCATGCTCTTTGAAATTTCACTTAGTAATAATTTTATATCATCGTTAGACAACTCAAATTGAGCTGCTGCATCAATTTTAGAATATGGTGATTTAATTTCACCAACCAATAGCAATAGCTTACCAGCTGCGATCAGACCATTCTCACAGAAGTATACATTAGTTGAATTTATGGCGTTAATAATGTATGCAATGAATTCACTTGTCAAACCAGTTTCAAAAATATGAACAGGAGCATCCTTCAAGAAGGAATTCAAAGTTAGAATTCCAAATTTACCCGATTCATCCCTGAAACTAGACTTCAATACTTTTTCTGTCAAAATGTTACCTGCTTCTTCTGTTGATAAAATTTCAGATAGAGAACCAATTAACTTAGCGTAAGCAACAGCTAACTTATCACTACTAGATAACATTTCTTCTTCAATCAAATTGATAATGTTAGTTTTGGATGCTTCACTTAATTTTGAGCCTGCCCTTGCAACAACTTCAAGTAAGGCTTTCAACATAGCAGTCTTTACACCTTCATCAGTAGCTTGCTTTGCACCGGTAACTAATTCGACAACTAAAGGATCCACTCTTGGCTGATATTCAATTAAAGTACCTAGGGCTTTAGCAGCACGTAGTCTTAATATTTCATTTGAAGGATCAGATAATGACTTGACAAAAGTTCTTTGAAGTTGTGGAATAAATGGTCTCAAGAATTGAGGAATCTTTGCAAATAAGATATTCAATGCATATAAAATAGCTGCTTTAATATCACTATTAAATCTTTCACCAACAACACGAATCAAAGGACCAGTAATAACACTAACGAAAGGTTTCAAGTTAGCAGCTGGTGTCTTAGATACTATATCCGCAATAGCCAATACAGAGGCTTCACGCTCATCATTAGAACCATACATTAAACCATGTAAAAAGATCGGTAACACACAGTTTGGACCTCTTGCAAGTTTAAATGCAGCCAAATCTTGATTGGCTTTACCAGTCATTTGCAATGATTGTTTGGCTGGTTTAACTAATTTTTCCAACATCGATTTATCTTGTTTCTTCAATAATGAAGATAAGGCTTCAAAGTTTGCTTTAACCACTCTCTCGTCTTCGTCACCCAAAGATAGAATACAATGTGAAACAATATCGGGAGTGTACAGTTCATAATCCAAGATGGTATTTTCGAAGAAATTTGGCAAACGTTCCAAAATGGTGATACGTTTTTCTTTGCTTTCACTCTTCATTAATGCCATCAATTGTTGTAACAGTGGATGTAGTCCTTGTTCGTCAGTAACAGAAAGGAAAACCTTATCTAACGCAGCTGAAATTGCTTCAACGGCACTAGAATTACCTTGAATTTCTTGTTCAACTAAACTTTCAACCAACCCATTAATAATTGTGGATAAACGTTTATATAATGCATAACCTGCAACTTCAGCCAATGAACCCAAAGCAGATGCTCTAAATGCATCGATTGGAGGAGCCAACAATGTAGGTATTAATACAGGGAAAATTATTTCTGACTTGGTTGACATAATTTCTTGTAAACCTAGCAAAGCATAACTTGAATTATCCTCTGATTTCAAAATATGCAACAAATATGGTAATATTTCGTCAACTGCAACTTTACCTACAACATCTTGATAAATATCAAAGGTAGAAGCAGCAGCATGTCTGACCGATTCACTACTGTCAATTAAACTCTTACGAATAATATTAACAATAGTACCTTGATATTCGCTTAGGAATTCTGGAGATGAAGGTTCAATTAATGCTGTCAATGCAACACATACACCTTGTCTGGAATCCTCATGAGCAGCTTCATTCAAAGAGTCTTCTAATGTAGGCAATAATTGAGCCATAGCATTTGAACCAACACGACGAACTAAATCACCTAATGTTTGAGCAGCTATATTACGTAAGGCACTTGAAGTTGAAGCCAAATGTAAAACTATAATACTAGTTAATGTTGGCATAATCTCCTTAATAGTACGAGGAGTGTTTGGAACTAATGCCTTCCAAATATCAACTGTAGTAGCACGGACAATACCGGAAACATCATTTCTACAGACAAATAAAGCGGATAAAATTCTGTCACGACGTTCTTGTCCCAAGACTTCAACCATTTTTTTAGTGACTTCACCATTATATTCACCATCTTCTTCTGAGAATTCATTTTTAGAGGAAATACCTGTAACTTGGAACAGTAATTCACCTGATAATTGAACAGATGATAAACGAATACGATCGTTTTCATCAAAAATACCTCTTTCTAATTCAGGTAACAATAAATCAATGGCTTTTGTAGCGTAATTTTTTACCTATCAGCTTACCCAGCTTTTAATGGCTGGATCCTGAATTGTTTCCACTTGATCAGCCAAACCCACCTAAAAATTGGGTGAAATAATTGGGGTTAATAAAGGGGGCCAAATTGATCCCCGAAACCAAACAGGGCAGAAAATACCAACATTGGGAATTAAACCCTTCACAAACATTAGGCCCGGAAAATTTTTTAACCCCCTTTCTAAAATTGTTTGGGAAACAATTCTGTCTAAACTTTTGAAATACCCTAAACCCCCGGAGGACTTCCG